CTTCAGAACCTGCTCTTTTGATTGTAATTCGTACATTTTCCTTTATGTCTAATTAGTGCTCCAAAACTATAAAATTATATTAACTCTTGTATTAAGACAATTCAATTATATTATGAAGTTGATTTTGTTATTAATGCTGCGTTGAACTCTGATTGAGTTAGGATAAGTTTGTGTGTAAGTTTGGGTTCGTATAGGTATGGAACCTTGGAGGGGAACCTTGCCTATGTGTCGGTCATGGATCCGGGATTCGGGTCGTGCCAGTTCTTCTCATAAGTTAGCTCATAGTATGGAGCGGCACTGAATATGCAGTGGTTCTGGTGTTTGTTGAAGTGTAATAATGGAATTGAAAAGTTTCTTGCAAATGGAGACATCTGAGAATGCTTTAATGATTATTTTAGGTTCGTTGTTTGAAATAGAAATTGATTTTATCTACACTTTGGATGCCTCTAGTTATTTTTTGCTTTGGGCATTATTAACTTGGTCTTTGCCACCAAACTGGTGTTTAATAAGCAAAGAAAATGATTTGTAGGTGATGAATCATCATGCTCTGGGGCCCTTCAAAAAGAAAAGGATGCCAAGAAGTCATATGTTCGATTGGGAAAGATGAGTACGTCTTTGTTTACTTTGTTTTTAATTTCTGGTCGAGAAAGTAGTATCTTGTAAACTGCTGATCTGTTAGAAATTTGTAGTTTATGGTTTGGGTTACTGGGTTATAAAAGTGGCTGATCACAATTTTATTTTATTTTTTTTTACCAAAACTGGCAGAAATGTGCGAATTGGCAATGGTAACCAGCTTATAAGAGATCCCAGGAAGCGAACTCGTGTTGTGGCCAGTGAAAAAGTTAGATGGAGATTGCGCACCGCAAGACCATGATTGGCTAGAAAGAGAAAGTACTGTCAGTTTTTCACAAGATTTGGGAAATGCAACAAAGATGATGGAAAATGCCCCTTCATTCATGATTCCTCCAAAATTGCAGTCTGCTATTTTGAGTTATTGGAGATTCTGAAATTTTCAACAAATTGTCAGAAGACTTTGGAATATCATTGCTTTCCATAAATTCTGCTGGGGTTGTTGCAGTTTCAGTAGACACAGAGTGAAGATGCTCGGCTAATGGGGAAAATACCCGAACCCCCAAAGCGTTAGTTGCCTGACTTGGTATTTTAGGGACACTAGATAGAGGTGGTGTTCTCGGTATCTCACAAGAAGCATTCATGCCTCCTTTTCTCACAACATCAAGCGGATCCACAAATCAATTCTACTGTCAGAGCCAGTACTCTTCCTTGGTTCATTAGTACCAAAAGAGTTGAGCTGATATACAGAAGAAATCAAACCATGAGGATCCGGGGATTGAACAACTGAAATAGGTTTTCTAACAAGACTGTTAACCTTGTGAATGTAAGAGGTGCTCTGGAACTTATCAGTTTTCCTAGGACATCGCATTTGTGCATGAACAGTGCTCGAGAATGCCTTTTTTGCTGGTGGAACAGAATCAGAAGAACTATCAGTTCGATGCCATGTTTGAGTTTTTGAGTTGCGAGATGAAGAAGCTGTACTCTTTGAAGCAGTAAAAACAAAAGATGAGCGACCTGGATAAATCTTAGATACAGCACAATTACTCTGGTTCTTCCTTCCAGATAATTGCCCACTCACAGCATTCTGCGTCCGAGTTGTTATTTTGGAATCCTGTGATGGAAAATGCCCCGTCTTTCGAGCCAACAGACGATCACCTTCCACTGCATGATCTGATTTTAAAACAATTTTACCACTTTGTGAACTTGTTGTACATATAGATGAGTTAGAACCAACATTAATTGCAGGCCTCTCAGCTAGAATTTTATCATGATACCCATGAAACTTTTCAACTGGATTTTTGCTTAATGATGTGCCCAGGACATCAGGCAAGGTTTCTGGAAAACCCCTATCAGACAGCATCTCAGGTACAAACGCCATAAGTTCCTCACTTGAATTGATAGCAGAAACTCCAAAGCCATCTTCGAATGAAGATAGATTGTTTAACATCCAAGGCGAATTGTTCTTCACACCATGAAAATCACTATCCTCCACATCTATACCTGGCAATTTTTCAGTCAAGACCTGTGTCTGAAGTTTTGAAGGGATTTGACACGGATCAATCCCACCGTCAATAACAACTTGCTCCTCTGCAGCATCAATGTCCATTATGTCTCCCTCACCAGCATCAACTTGCTCCATAGAGTCATTTGGATTGCTACTTCCAACCACAACTGGAGTAGCATTTATGATGTCCTTGTCTCCCAATACAACTAGATCACGGGATGTCACTTTTGTAACTGCCAGTTCCTCAAAAGCGAAATGAGATTGAACATCTTTTTGACCATCATCTTCAAATGCATCTTTGACTGCAGCCACCGTGTGCTCTCCTGCTGAACAATTTTCAAGAGATGCAGTGATCCGCTTCTGTGCTGGCAGAAAGTCAGAAGTGCACAGAAAATCCATATCAGACACTACAGCTTCCTCTTCTGGCAGTGTTTGACCATCACCAGAATTGGAAGGCACTTCCATACCTGATGTAGAGTTACCTGCAAATACCGGTCCCTCATCAGCGTCAGATTCTAGTGGAGAATTCGATTTCAATGGAGGAGCAGAGAACTTTCTGTTCTTTTCATTCCTTGGTGAAACATTACTTGCACCAACATCATCACTCCTCCGGACAGAATCCTTACCCGCTGAAACATCTGTTAAACTGCCCTCATGAAGGACATTGACGATATTACAAGATTGTGAGCCAACATCCACAAATGGGGAACCAGAAAATGTACACTCAGCTGTAGCACTGTCTTCAAAACATAATCTCAAGGTTTTATCCACCCAATGTGCAGTGGTACTGGTGACCATATTTGCATGATCCATATGCATGTAAGATACATCTGTCCTTGACAAATCTAACTGAGGAACTTCAATTTTTTTATCATTCTTCGTAATGTCAGTTGCATCCTCGTCACTGCTACCTGCAGAAACCTTGTTATCTAGAGAACCTCCGATGGAAGCACTCTCCAATGTTTGAGTAACCCCATGTTGAGATAGCTGCTCACTAAAATCACCACCAGTTCCATGGACAGAAATATTAATTTCTTCTGAATTGGTACAGCAGCTGGGAGAAACCAAAATGGTCCCTACACCCTGATTGGGTCGTATGACATCATTCTTAATTCCTGTTTCCCTGAAATGGATACAGAGAAACTTCTATTGTTTACTACAGGGAAACTAGCCCCCTGAAGTAGATCAGTGATGCCATTCTCAGCTGATGGACTACCTAGATTTCTGCAGGGCTCCTTGCAACCAACATCAGATGCCCCCGCGTCAAAAACTTTAATTCTCTCTTGTGAGTTCATTGAAGCAGTATCTAACCCCATCAAAGGCATACAAGTATTCATAGGATCTTCATGAATTATTGTTTTCTCTGAACTTAATGAACCAAAATCAGTATTGCCTTCCATATAATCCAAAACTTTGAGAGATCCCCTCACAGCATTGTCCTCAAACAAGCAAGAATCTCCATTCTGACAAGGCTGCTTGCCAATATCAGATCTAAATGTTTCATCTA